AGCACAAAAAATTCGCTAATGTTGATCAGATGAAGCAGATTCAAAGTGCTGACCAGGGCAAATAGGCCAGAAAGTTCCATGTGTAATCACAGAAAAACACGCAAAAGGTGGGTTGAAAAGGGGGAAATTTAACCGAAAATTTCAAAGGTAAAACTTTCCTTCGCATTTGCTTCTTATGAGGGATTTGAGGTATCGGGGATGTAACTTAAACGATCGTACATGCCAGCAGCAACCACTCGCCGGCAAGATTGTCAATGGTAGCTTTTTTCAAGAAATGATTATAAATAAACTGATAACGGGTTTAACTCTCTGTTTCGGGCCAGTACCAGTTTATCAACGAAACGAATGAACTATTCGTAGAGATACTGATTGTCCCACTGGCGTAATCGAAATCTGCATCTTGTCTTGACGTTATGCCCCACGTCAGCATCTGATGAGGGATTTAAGGGAAGCATAAAATTCAGGTACACGTTGTAGTGGATCCAGCACTGAGTGCGATTTTGCGTCCACATCAACGTGAAGGTGTTAAATTCATGTATGACTGTGTTACCGGCGCTCGTATCCCGGATGCGCATGGCTGTATCATGGCCGATGAAATGGGCCTGGGCAAAACGCTGCAATGCATCACCCTGATGTGGACAATACTTGTATGTCCTATTCGATTTTATTGTGCGTGCGGCTAATTTACTTATACAATAAGCACAGCCTTATTTGTCGAGCAATACACTTGCATAACAATTAGGAGTCGATTAAATATGCTAGAGAAGTTATTTATTTTTTCAAAGACAGTAATTTATTTGCCGGCAAGCATGGCGCAGCGGAATAGCCCTATTATCGTACGAAACTTCGAGCTTACAAGTGCTTTTGATTGCTTTATTAAGCTGCCCAATTTTTATTCTTTTTTAAATTTAGATTAAGTTCTTTAATTTCTAAGTTTTAAATTTTAATTTTCAATTTAGGTTAAATTGGACTTAAAGAAATGAAATTAAGTCTAACAAGAAAATTAAGTTTAACAGAGAAACTAAGTTTAAGAGGGAATTTTTGACCTTGCTGACTTTCGATTGACGTCGCGCACTAGCGAGTGATATCCGTGAGAAATGAACGATCGCACACATCGAACAGGCATTGGATATTAACTGGAGGTATGTAGTGCAGGATCAAAGAAGGACTGGCCTAGCTGCATTTCGCGTGTAGGAGCATCCCGCTATTGAGGATGCCTACACTTATTACCCGAATGATCTTAGCACCTGTGTTGTTTCGAGTGGTTAATTCTGTACAGTTCCACTTTGTTAAATCAGTGTAGTTTCACGCAGTTAAATGTGTATGGTTCCTCCTAGTTAAAACTGTACAGTTTCATGTAGGTTTCAACCCTTTAATATTTTGCATCTGGCGATAACTTTTCTTTGAATAGCGCTCATAAGTCAACTTAAACCGAGTAATTTAGCAGTTAAGAAACTGAACAAATACTTGTATTGAGGAATGGAAAAATGTTATATTTTGAAATCTGTGTCTTATAGAGACAGGGTCCGGATGCTCAACCAACAATCAGCAAAGCGATCATCGTCTGCCCGAGCAGTCTTGTCAAGGTTCACCATTTTTATTAACGTTTCATTCCCCAAACACTACAGGAATTTGCGTCAAAGTACGTTTGCACTTCATTGATATTGCACCCACATTTTTCATCTTTTGTAGCACACATGTGCACATACGTACGTACACACACACACACACACACACACACACACACACACACACAGCACACAAATAAAATGTTGGATTTTCGTACCAGTTGGTTCTGTCTTTAGTTTTTTGCTGAGGATAAATGTCCGTATATTTTTTTCCAGTAAAGGACGAAAGAACATTTTTATCTGGATCTGTACTTCCGCGGATACCACAAGTGCACATGAACTGTTCAAGATCAATGTTTTCAAATTTTCATATAGAATTCTTCTTTGACAATAAAAGTTTCTTGTTTCTTTATCTTTGCTCCATCTCTTATTAAAGGTTATTTACCACTGAGAGGAAATTCTCCTGTGGTTTAGCCAAGAACAGTCGTACCATCGTCTTTGTTCTTGAGCTCTACCCGCATCCATAGTGCACCAAACACATTCGAGTTAGTGAATCTTTCCAGATTTTCTTCTGTTACATGCACACGAAATCAGGAATACATATAAAAAAGAGATGAGCTACAGATGTGCAGTATAAAATACGTGTTTTATGAGTTCACTGTGTGCAATGGATATCAACCAATTATTCGTTACGTTCATCTGTTCTGTCTGTCTCATTCACACCGCCACATCATCAGCCCAGCTTCTTTTTTTAGCTCAACACACACTAGCGACATTTCGAAATGGCTAAAACTTTGCCAAATTGCTTCTTTCTAGAGAACCGTTGAGCTGATAATCCTTTCAGCAGACAACGAGCATCAAAGTCAAAATTAAAATGTAGGAAATAAAAAGAATACTCGAAAAGTTTTAAAAAGAAAAAATCGTTTTTTTCCTTCCTTTAATAAATGGATTTTTGCCTTGTGAGGTTGTCGGCTTGTAAGTAATAAGGTCAGTTAACTTTGCTTAAGTAATAAG